ATCGTGTGATTAGAAATGCAACTTGCGTATCAGAATGAATCTAGATTTATCATGTATTTACATTGATTTTCAAAAGTAAAATAGATCATAAAAAATTTTTATTGAGGTCAAAAGTGAGAAAGATTTTACATTTCTTGCAAAATCTTAAAAAACCTTGAGGAGATATGGATTTCTGATTTAGGGTAATCACTTTTTTTTTTTTTACACTATTAAAAATCTTAAAATACCCTAAGAATCAAATAAGTGAACCGAATTAAAAAAATTAAATTAAGAAAAGTAAGATTTCGAAGGTAATTTAAATTCCCCTGAACCAAGTCCCCTTAGAGATCCTAGTGTCCTGAATTAAGATATTAAAACTAAGTTTAAAACAAGGACAATATAATTTTAGAAAGATGCTGAAAGATGTATACATATAACATATATTTATATTTCTTTAAAAGTGAAGATTGATGAATAATTCACAACAGCAGTCTTCAATTTATTAGTTTTTGTTTTATGAAAATAATATCATAAAAAAATTATAATCATATTGCTAATTGAATTTTGTATTAATTGACATATCATTAGAGTTTAAAACTTAAAAGTTACAAATTTAAAAAAATTTATACATGTAATGTTCTTTTTAGTTAAATAAATATTAAAATAAAAATTTTAAGGATAAATTAGAAGTTAAAAAAATTACAATTATATTTAAATGTTATATATAAAAATTAATGAATTACATAACTAATCAATTAACATAAAACTAACAAATCTAACGTATATCTCAATCAAATTTATTCAAAACGAAACTTGAATTTGAAACTTTAAAATTTTATGATTTTGTATTTGTGTTAAGCTAAGCGCTTAACCCAATTTATTAGTTTGTTATGTATTAATTACATATGATTATTTCCAACTTAGATGGAAACTTCGGTTGCATCAAATCAAATTTGTTTTAGGTTCCATCCGACAAAAAAGAATAAGAAAAAAAAACAAAGAGAGTGTGTTAGGTAGGGCATATAGGTCACATGCATGGTTTCGATCAGTAACGCTCCGCCACAGGAAAACCTTTTGATACATTGGTTAAGTCAACCCCTAACTTGGCTCTATTTGCCTTAATTAGATTATCTTTACTCGCTTTGGGTTTCAAATATTCTCACCTAGCAACCCTCTCTTCTTCAACAGCTCAGCTACTACAGGACAGACACCAATACATTTTTCTTTCTTTTTTTTTTTCAAAGAAGGTAAAAGGACGTTTCTTAGGGAAACAAGTTATCTGTTTATCATACACATTTGTCTCACATGTAGCTAGGAGAAAATTATAATTATTTTGAAAAAAAATGGAACCCTGAGGCATACAATTGGAACATGGCTTGATTTGTACATTTGCCAGAAGATCTATCATCAGGGGGATGCCGGCATAGTCAACAGCTTGATAAAAATCAGTTTATCATGTTATTCGTTATTCTTGATATATTGAACGTGGACAAGCTTTTACTATATTTAAAAATTTTAAACACAATATAATGATATGATATAAAAATAATATAAAAAATATAAAAATAATACGATTTAAAATTGTAATAAAATTATATATAAGTTCGATAAAAATAAAAAAAAGATAACATATCATAAATTATGATATAATAATTTTTATATTTTATACATATTTAATACAAAAAAATACAGGGTTGTCAAACGAATCATTATTCTCATTTTTCGGCATGAAAGAACCAAACCCACCTTCATTTGTGTCAAGGTCATCGCCTTTTTGACATGACTGCACTTTCATTTGGTCTAACTTAGCATTCAACTCAGAGAAAACAACAACCATGATTACTCGAGTGTTGCTGTGGCAATACCCTTTTAATCTCCGTAGAAGAGTGTAAAGAGGAAAGAATATTTTTAAAATGCATGTCACTGAAGAAGAGTTCAAGAGCTGGTAAAGGAGATTAGATTGAGAAAGAACTTGAACGGGAAATCATGGATGGTAGACTGGTTTTGATTCATCAGTTGAGTGACCTGAAAGCCAAAAAGATAGCTAAGGGGTTAAAGAAAATGGATGTTGATGCTATAACTAGGGGATTTTCTGCTTGAAACTGTTGCAGAATGCAGCTCATGTAATAATATTGATGGACTTTTTTAGTCCACACTCCGTAGCCAGTAAGCCAAAAAACTCCCCAATCCAGAGAAATTTATATATAGCAATTAATTAATTTGTCATTTTGGGAAACTATAAATGATCGAGGACATTAAGAAGATATTTGATTTTATGATTCACTGACAAAGCATGGATGCGTGTGTAAATCACATACGTGAATTAAAAGCAATATCTGATTCAATTCAGAAGGGCATCTTCCATCCATAGCTTTAGCTGCCCATCATTTCCTTTCCTTTTTCTTTTTCTTGATAAAGCAATTGCAATTAATATGCAATATTAATTAACATAGATATGATGAGACTTGCTTTTGGCATGAGAAATAACAAAAAAGCATAACTTTCCAAGCTCTTGCCATCGAAGATACATGCATATGTGGATTTTGATTAGGTTTATACTTTTAAAATCTCCATTTATCATCAATCCAAAAATCAGCCTTACAGTCCAAGGTGAATGGATAAATATCTAAGATTGTGGACCATCCTAATAATGTTGATTTTAATAAGAAAAACATTTTATTCTTTTATTTTATAAAAAATGTAATCACAAAAAAATAGCTTAGAAAATTGAAGATAAGAGCTTAGTGGAGGTGTGTGTGTTGATGGCAACAGGAGCTTTTATTGTCTTTTACACTGTTAACTGTGTAACAAAATATCTATTCCTATCCATACATAATTCACAGTTCACACCAATCAATGTGTGGGAGCATTTCTTTAATGGATCGCATTTTTGCAGAATATATATTTTTTAATTTCATCAATGCCTGGACAAAATTTTTAGAGGGCATCATAACAAGTTAGAATGAAATATGGGCAACTAGGAATTATGATTCCAAAGAAATGGCAAATAATAATAATGAATAATTGAAAGACAGATTCCATATATATAATTTGAAGAATAACCAAAATAATGCCCCTTTTTTCTGATATAAATTGACGCACATATTATTAATTTTGTTGAGGGTTTTGATTATGGACAATGATTGACATGAGTTTTGTTAGGTTCTTGTTCAAAATTATTAGCTTTGTAGATAAAAGGGAAAAAGGATCCACCGTCAACCTTACTGTCCTTACATGGTGTCTAAAGGTTAGATAGGTCAATTTTCTGTTTTATGATTGAATTTAGAAAACTAAAACCATAATGATTTTTTTTAATCTGTTGGATTATGACTAAAGTTCATATTAAAATACTTGGAGCATGCGTCTACTTGCGTGTCTATATATGTATATATAAATTTATTATCAGGTTAAACAATTATTGATCAATATATAAGTAGAAAAAGAAGAAAAAAAAATACTATGATGAACACTTTGAAAATGCTAATAGCTACTAGTAAATATCCTTATTATGGAATTAATTATATTAACTGCCTCAAAGTTTTTTACCAAAATATGTAAAATGACAATTTTGAGTTAAGAAAAGCATAAATTATTGGAAAATGAAAAAATAAAAAAAGTAATATGATTTCATATATAAAAAGATCCCATATGGAGCATTTAGTACTCTAGGGTGTTGAAATGCACTTTGTTTGTATTGGGAGAATGGATGAGATTCAAAACAAACTTCAAGTAAAAATAAAAAGGATTAATGTTATAAATAATTCATAAATTATATATAATAAAATGTCTAATGTAATATCTGAATTTTAAAAATCTCTATTATAATACAAAAACTATAAATCTGTAAATTAATGTAAAATTTGGATAGTAGTTTGTCTATTTCGTGTTATCATTTGAAGTTGTTAGTTATGTTAAAAGTGAGTACCATGTTAGTTAATAGATTTAGAGTTTATATATCACATTAAAAATTTTTAAAATTCATATACTACATTTAATATTTTGTATAATGTAAAAGTCATTCATGATATTAACCAAATAAAAATATATATACGTACAAATAGCTAGCATTGCTTCTAAATAATATATAAGCACTAAAAAGATGTCACTTGCACACAGTGATTTAGTTAATTCTATCATTTATTCTGGAAAGTAATTTAATTTAGCTTTTTCCCCATTTGATGAATTGATAATTAAGCTAGTTTCATTTCATGCATAAAGATACAAGGTATACTTGTATTGTGCCTTTCAATAAAGCTGGTTTTTTTTTTAATAACAATAAAATTAATTCAAAAGCATTATATATGCAATAATTTTATGTAAACAAAATGTAATGCATTAACATAAATGTCAGAGCTGGAGCCTGGTCTTTTTGGTCTGATGCCATTTCTTGGCACTGGCATCATGAATTACTACTGCAACCAAACAACCTAAACCTATGAAAATCTGTATGAATTTATTAGGTCTTTCGATTAACAAATTTAGAAGATTCCTTTTAATAAGTGGAGCCTGTTCCCATGACTACATGTGATGTTGGCATATTCTGGCAAACGCCTCTCTGCAAAATGGCCGTGATTCTGCCCTTTGTCTAACCTTATTTATGTATTTTATATCAGACTCTCTCCCATGGGGAACTAACTGATCATCTTTTCAGCAACACCACCATTTGCATTGAAACCCTTTTCATGAAAAACTTCTCTTTCTCATAGCAGGAGCTAAGCTAGCTCATTGGAAGGCTTCTGGGTGGAGATACAAAGCTAAATCCAAATTTGAAAAATTCGTCCCAACCAAATTTAATTAAGATTATTTAACAACTTAATGCTCAATTTGAATTTGAATTTGTTTAAATTTAAATTTACTCATATTTAAACTAATTCCAACCTAAATCACTGAAAAGATTAATATACAATTTTTCAAAATTAAATTAATTTATTTTTAAATTCAATAATTTAAATCTAAAATCAAACGAATCTAAATAATTCGAGAATAAAATCTGAAAACTTCATATTGAAGATGATCCAAACTCAAAATAAATTGAAATTGAAATTATTCAAAATTTTCTTGAACCTAGTGAACACAAAAAAAATTACAGCACTGGTCTCATTTTTTCCTGTTTATTTTGCGGAATGAGATTCTGAACCTCACTATCTGATCTACTTCTCGCTCTCAACTTATTTATTTAGCCAAAAATAATAATAATAATGAAAATAAACATACAAATTATGCTACAACCCCACCAATGTGTACTCGCCTATAAAAATTCAATTCAAATGCTTCCACTCCAATGCACCTTTACCGGATATTCCTGGCCCACTCACCGGACTGATAGCTGCTAGAACATCAACTCAAAAGAATTGCTTCTTTACATTTATCTGCCTGAGTCCTGGCCAATGAAATTTGACAGTGCTAGCTGGTTTGTTTCTGACACTGATATCACCCACCTGTGCCCATTGAAACCGGTTTGCTGACTATAATTTCATAGCCATCCCCTTCATCTTCCTCCTCAACATCGCCCTCCTTGTCGTCTTCGTCTTGATTTTGATCGCTTTCCATGTCTTCCATTACATGATCCTGTTCGTGGTGATTGGGCTCCGGAGGAGGAGGGGGCCATTGCTGCTCTGGGCGTACCATCAATGGGACTGAGTTTTCGGGTTTTAATTGATTGGAGGAGCAATCATGTTTGTTCTTTTCTCTATATAAAGCGTCAAGTTGGTGAAAGTAGGGACATGTCTTTGAATCCTCGGGCCTTTTCTTGTTGCTTTCTTTAACCTTCTTGAAGTACTTGTTTATGTTCTCCCATTTCTCTTTGCATTTTTTGGCGTTGCGATTGTAACCAAGCTTTTTCATTGCAGATGATATCTCCTCCCATAATGGTCCTTTGGGACCACCATCTTGGTATTTAGAGTCAAGACTAGTCCTTAGCTTAATCAATGCTTCAGTCTCAACTTTAGGCCATCTTGAAGAGCTTGGTGTGTGACTTTGATCGCCATTATCAGTCTTTGACACATCTAAATTCACCACTGGCAGCGGTACTAGTGGTGGAGCAGGCGCTGACACTGCTGCAGCTACTGGCTGCGCTACTGGGGCCACTGCCGGTGCCACTGCCAATACTGGCTGTGGTGCAGGCGGTTGCGGTTGCTGAGACGGTATTGCATTAGTTTGTGCATGCCCTGGATTTTGCTGCTCAGATAATTTTTGCAAGAACGCCATTACTGCATCATCCTTTGCCGTTGCCATTGATCTTTCTTGGGCTAATATCTCGCGTTCTTTATTTATTCTTGCCATTTCCTGCATCCTCCAAGCTTCTTCACGGACCATTCTTTCGTGCTCACATTTCTCTATTGCTTCCAAGAATTTCTTCTGCATCCCCTTCTGCTTCCGAATCACCTCCTTCATTAGCCTCTCAAAAAAATTCTTCCATTTTCTTTTCCTCTTCCTCCGACCTTCTAATTCTAAATCTGATGAGGTCGATGAGGAGGTCGAATTCGACATTTGATCTGCTGAAATGGTAGGAAAAGAAGGAATTGTAGGGTTTGTTGTCGGTGGTGGGGGTTGAATTGTAGGGTTTGTTGATGGGCAGGAAGGGGCTGTATGGTTTATATTTGGTGGTACAACGTTCTGTGGCAAATTGGAGAGTGTTGTTGATGGAACAGTGACATGGGTCAGACTCGGAGGATTAGCTGCTGGCTGACCTTGAGGCTTTAGTTGCGTTGGTGGTAGTGGTGCTGCTACTGGCGATCGAATGTAAGGATTATTTTCGAGGGCTTCTAATTGATCGAAAAACCGATAAGTCTTGCCATATGATTTAGCAGTTCGGCCATCTTTGGTTCTCTTATGATACTTGTAAACGTTCTCGAATTTCTCCTTGCATTTCTTGGCCCTTCGATGATAACCGAGCTCTGCTAGTTTCCTGATATCAACAGTAGAAAAAACAACTCCATTTCTGTTTTTATCCTATCAATAATCCAACAACAAAACAGACCAAAACAGTATTCGCACATAAAATAAACTATGAATTGAATTTGATATATAATTAAGACAAACAGAAATTTGAGAAGCAAAAGAAGTAAAAATGAAAAAGGAAATGAAAGAGCTCAAGACAAAAAGCACTATAGAATTCAAGACAAAGTAAACCACGAATTGGTGCTGATGAACACAGTTTTCCCCACCCAAGATTCAATTTTTTTTTTTTTTTTGAGAGAGAGTTTGACAAAATGAGAGTGAAGAAATGAGTTGGGGGGGAGACATGAAGTAAAATTTATGAGCCAAAATTCAGGTTAAGATTCCCTGTGAAAAATTGGGAAAAGCAAATGCCAGAAATGGTAAGAAATCCCTAATCATATGACATTGAATTTCCCCTTGAAGATGCTGAATTCCCTCAACTTGAACTATAATTTTCCTCTTACAAAATATCAAACAAAAGAATATAATTCTCTCAATCTTATGCTTTCCCGTAAGTATAAACCTGAAAGTAAACAATTCGAAAAAACAGATCTCCACTCAAGAACTTTAAACGAACTCAAATTTTCATTGAATTATCAACAAAAAGATTATATAAAAAGAAACAAAAAGGAAAGTAAAATAATAATAATAATAATAATAATAATAATAATCACCTGGAAACCTCTTCCCATAATGGACCCTTAACGCTAGCGTCACGAAAGGTAACATCCATGTCGGACCTTATTTTCAAGAGTGCCAAAGTCTCCTGCCTCGGCCATCTGTTGCCTCCCAAAGAACGGTCACCTTCATCAACCCTCCCTCTATCATCTTCACCCGAATTGTTATTATTGCCGTTGGAGCCAAGCATGGCGGCAGCAGCAGCTTCACTGCTTCCATCTCGAGCTCCGCTGCGGGTAACCATGGCAGTAGCAGCAGCGACGGCGCCACCGGTGGTGTCACTTCCACCCAGCATATATGATTTTTTAGATACGACAAGCTTCTTCTTTCTTTCTCTTCCTTGGCCCCCTCTTGGCAAGGGCTTGCAATTTACTTACAGCTTTCAATGAAAAGAAGGGAAAAATTAAAATTAACAAATACGGAAAAAAATTTTGTTTCAACTTTGTATGTCTCTATTCCTATGATCCTACCTATTAACAGAGAAAAGAGGGTGGTGAATTATTTTTTCCTTCAAAAGGGTTTTTATTGAAGATGGTTTGTATATGGGTGAATTTATTAATTTATTTTCGTTTGAGAGATCTGCTTGTCAATCTCAAGAAGAAGGTTTTTTTATTTAAAAAAATAGAAATTTTGTTTTTCTTTTTAGCAGTGGAATCTTCAGGGTTTTTACAATTTTTTGAATCATTATTATTTTTGAAAGGGTTTGTTGGTTAAAAAGAAAGGACAGCAAAGCGGAGCGGGGCGTTCTCTTTTCTCTCAGTAATAATTAGAAGGTGGCACAGAAAGATATATAATACAGAAAAAATAAATAAATATTACAGAATTTTATCAACAGCTGCGCTAGAGACGATGGTAATTAGTTGGCTTTTGTCTGTCCAGCTATTTTAGTTAAAAAGCCGGCCCGTCTTCTTCAGCTTTATACACATTTATTTTTTTTAAGGTAAATTTAATAATTTGTGTATTTTTATTTTATTTATGTTGTATTAAATATTTATGAAATATAGAAAATTGTATTATAATTTATTTCAATATATTACATATGAAATATATTTTTTATTTTTATTAAATTTATATATAATTTTTATCAAAATTTTAATTGTATCAAATTTATAATTTTCATATATTTTTATGTTGGATTATCATTCGTTGTATAAAATTATTGATGTAAATAAAAAATAATGAAACGTGAAGATGAACTTTTCTTCTTTTTTTTTTTTTGTTTTTCTTTATATTTTTAGAGTTTCAGAGGCGGTTGGCTATATTTTTCTATAAAATATCTAAAATGCCCCTAACATGGATCCCATTGAATCCGTATGGCGCGTCCTTTAATCATTGGAGCCAATATTTTAAAAGGAAAATTTTATTAGCAAACATGAAAATTGTCGATGTTTGGTTTTTTAAGCCCCAAAATCTTAGTAATTAATTATAGAGAATACCCATGGTTTTTTATGTAAAATGATAATATCGGCTAAAGCTTTTTTGCTTTCTCCTTTTTCATAATTTTCAACTTGTTGGGTGAGACTGTGGTACACTCAGCTTGTGGTCAAGAAGGGGTCCTACGGGAGGATGGCGACATTCGAAAAGTTTTGACAAAATATTTGGGGATTTCATAATTGTTTGAAGAAAAAATTTGCATAAACTTATCTTACTAAAGAGACATTTGCAGTGGGATCCGCTGTTGAATTAAACAGGTTAGATGTAGGTCATGTTATTAGGGGGTAAGCCATTTATGAATTGAAGCAAATTGGTTGCAACCTACCATAATAAATAAGAGCAAGAATTTCCATTGCTAAGATCTGTTTAAATTACTTGATAGATTGATTCGGAAAAAAAAAAAAAAAGCGTCACAATGGTTTTATACTTTTATGAGTTGATGCGTAAACTTTCATGGATAGAAATTAGAATCAAATTTTGGTGGATGTAATTCAATTCATCCAAACTCGATAACTTATAAAGACTACTTTTCAAAATTAACAATTCAAGTTTGATATAATTAATTAGTTATTATCCCTTTTTAAAAAATTAAGAGATTGAGATTTATGGTTTGATTTATTTCAATAGATTTAGCCTTGAACATATAAAAGAAATTGTGCTATAAAAGTTAACACAAAGTACTTTTTTTTTTTGTTTGCAAAATTAAAAATAAAAAGGATATTTAAGTAAATTAAGTTTTTGAAGTTATTGAAACATCAAGATTCAAATTTTTTTTTTTTTTTAGTAAATAGCTCAAGTGATCTTTTAAATTTTAGGTCAAATTTTATTTTGGTTTCTAAATTTCAAAAAATTTTAATCAAGTTTTCAATTGTCCAAATATGTTTCAATATAGTTCTTTCATTAGCGAAATCGTCTTATTTTACAAAAAATTTAGGTGACATGACACTTGTTAAATAAATAAAATTTTTTTTAAAAATTAAATATGCAAAATTAAAAAACAAAAAAGCAACCTTTAGACTCAAGCCCTCCAAAAACCATCACCATAGCATTCAAACTTGACCCAAGGACCCATTACCAACACACTCTACCATAGATGCCACTACCCACCAACACTGCAAAACTCAAACCATTGTCATGCCCAATACCTCAACCAATTCAACCTAGACAACCACCAATCAAACACCACAAAAACACATACATGGTAAGAAAGAAACCAGCAAAACCATCAATAGATCCCAAGCTTTGTTGCATTCCACCAAAACTAGCCTAGCAACAACTTTATCTTTATTATCACCATTGTCTATCACACCAACCTTCATTTCCTTAAGCCATCACCTACTGCCTCCACTGTAGCTTACTCGAAAAATAGACACCACCAAACCCCCCTCAATCAAATAACATTTGCATCTATCTGGCCAAGACTAACCTTATTTAACAAAAGAAATCAACAAAAGAAAACAAAACAATTGATAGCATAAGAAAAACCTAACCATAATTTTTTTAAGCAATAAAACAATCATAAAAAGTACAAAATGCCACAACATAAAAATAGCTTAGGAAAATAGATTTTAGGTTTTATAGTTTGGAAGATATTTTTCGCTTGAAAGTTGGAGAAAAGGAATAGCAAGGGAGGGGAATAATATACTAAAATTTTAGGAAATATAAAGTGGTGGAAGGTGATTTTTTTGGGTTGAAGTCATGGTTTTTGTTTATAGATCTTAGTGATTAGGGGTTGTTTTCGAGAAAACCATTTGGATAAATAGGAAGAGGAGGAAGAGGAGGAAAAGCGGAATCTTTGGGTGAATTTTGGAAGCAAATTGGCACTGAAAACTGTAGCTAACGATGGAGGGCGATGGTCAATCATTATTTTTGTAATTTTAGGTGATTAGAGAATTAAGGGTTTTGTTTTTTAGTAAGATAGGGTTTGAGTTAAGAGAGAGAACGGAGAATGAAAAAAGAAAGAAAACAAAAGAAAGGAAAGGAAAAAATGAAAAAAAAAATGAGATTTTTTTAAATTCACATATATATTTTTTAACTTCACATATTTAAAATTTTTTTAAAATTCCACTTAAACATTTTCCATCAAATTAGCTTGTTTCATTAATGAAGAAAATGCATTGGTACACGTTTGGCTAATTTAGGATTCAGAGAAAATAAATTGGTACACGTTTGGCTAATTTAGGATACAGTTAGAACTTTTGAAGTTTGGAAATCAAAATAGAATTTGGTCTTAAGTTTAAGAACCACGTATATGGGTGATAATGGTTTAGATCATATCGAATTCGGTTCAGTTTTTCAAATAATACATAAAATTATGACTTTTTAAAATCAGATTCGAATCTGAATTGAACTTTCATACAATTTGATCTGATCCGCATCGAATTTTACCGATTCGGTTCAATTCAATTCATTAGTTTTAAATTTAATTTTTTTTTATTTTGTATGTTATTTTAATATAATTTTTAATATATTTAAATAGATTTAGGTATAAAATAATTATTTTATTTTATAAAAATTTAAAAAATATATATAAAAGCTGATAAAAATATACAATTCAATTTGGTTCCTTTTTTTTTTTTTTTAACTTTTCACTTATCAATCTGAAATCTAAATCTGAACTTAATATTCGAACTTAATCCGAACTGAATAAAAAAAACCGTTTTGATCTAAACTGAATACTATAACTTTGAATCACTTTTTGATTTTTTTAAATTTTTTCTCACCATAGTTTGCTAGTTACTTCTTTTTTATGTGTTTATTTATTTTGAACAAAGATTTAGGTTTATTATTATTATTAAGAAAGGTGAATAGCATGTAATAGGGAATATAAACCCTAATTTCAATTCCAGTTTCAATGAAATAAATGAAATGTGGAGTTTTCTTAGCTATAGGACTTTTTTTTTGTGCCTATATAGGAATTATACCTACTATAACACTAAATTCAAGAATTTATGCAGTTTTTATGCACACCATTTTGGGGAAAAAAATAAAAGACTCTTCTTCTTTAAAAATCTTGTCTTAATAAAAAAAAAATCTTGTTTTTATATGACAGTTTAAATAAATGCTTCTCATCACTCTTTCATTATTAACTTTAAATTTTTTTTAGGGTTTTCTTCCTTGTTTCCATGACCATTCAAATATTATTACAAAAAAAAATTAAGAGTAATTATACTACTTAAATTCATTTTTCATGTATTACATCATTTATTTGTCCAATGATAATTGCCTTTGCATCCAAATATTTGATTTAATGTTTTTTCTTTCTTCAGAAAACTAGGTTCAAACCTTCATTCCTAACATTAAAAAAAAACCTTAATTCCTCCTATAAGCAAAGTTTAATCCCTTTTTATTTTTAGAAGAATTTTCCAAATACAAATTTATTATTATGATAAATCTATTATCTATCTAAGGCTAATTGTCATGCTATCTAAAATTCTATTAATTCATATTTTTTTTCGTATAATTATTGAGGTATGTAAAGTAAATGAAATTTATAGAAATTTATCATTTAGCTTTGATAGAGTTTTGTGAAATATTTTATTTTTATCCATAAAATCAATGAAATTCAAATTACAATGACAAACTTTGTCATTTGCATTATTATTATACACTATTACAATTTTTAATTTTATGATTTTTATCCAAAAATCAACAAAATTGAAAATGTAGTAATAAAATTCAATAAAATTAAATATTGAATCATATAGTATAGTGACAAATTTTATATATATAAAAAAAACTATAGCACTTTTATTTGTTTATATTATGGATGCATGTATATATTCTACAATTCCAAAATTCAAATTTAATTTTTTTTCAAAAAAAATTATTTAATTAAATATGTGGCTAAGTAATCAAGTTATCCTTTAATAGTTTAATTGTCATTAATCACAACTAAAATTGAATGATCATAAATTCAAAATACACAAGATAAGTGTAAACATCTCATTTTGTCTGAAATTTTTTTTGGTATTAAAATGAGCTTTGAATTCTTGAAAGTGGATAAAAAAATTGCAATTAGGTTTTAACTGTGAAACTAAACTTTAGGCCCAAGATCAAAAAGTCCAAAATTGTGTTTTTAAATTTCAATCCAATTTATTTTTAGTATTTTTTATTTATTTTAACCTTTTGACTTTGATTTTAGTGTTAGTTTTTATGGGTTTCTGCAATGTGACAAAAAAAAAAGGTAGAAAAATAGAAAAAAAACGTGAGGATTTATTTCTAAAAGGAAGACTTGTTGATTTGGTTTTGTATCCTGTTAAAATTGGAAATCCAATAATCCATTATTTATGGAAATACTTGGTCCCCAATTCATGGAAAAAAGGAAAATCACAAAAAAATAAAATCTTGAAAATTTTGGTAGATTCCTTGGAATCTAGAAATTTTCCAATTTGAAGTGCAATTCATCCTTATAAAAAGAACTGAAATTTGCGA